AAACTGTTCACTGCCGTGGATGATGAAAACTGGATTGAACGAGAAAGGTATACGAGATGATGGGAGATTCCTCTCAAACTTTTGTTTTGGGGACGACTTTGTTCTCTTCTCGAGGAATATCGCAGAAGCGGAGGCGATGTTGAAAGAAATAAACGAAGTAGGGAAGCGGATAAGACTACGAATTAACCGGAAGAAGATTCAATGCATGAAGGACGACTGGATTTGCGAGAATTAGATAAATAAGAAGGCTCTGCAATCGCGAAGACGTTTTCTTACGTATATCTCAGACGTTCAATGAAATGAAAAACGATCTGAAAGAAGAATTAAACAGGAGTCGACAGCTTGGGCCGTCTTCGGACCTCCCGATCGATGAAAGATACATTACTGATTAGAAATTTCAAGATTATAATTGTATTCTAAAAGGAGTCTTTAATCATTTTTGGGGAAACTGCGCGCAAGATAACGCTGAAAATGAATTTCGAAAAGTTTGCTTCGAAATTTAAAGAGGCTAAGTTTTGCAAAATTTGTGCAAACTACATGCGTATTATATTGAATTGTCAAAAAAGAATACGTACATGAAGCAAGCCGCTTTTAGCAACTATCTTTAGATTTTCCGTGACATGACTTGTTCAGATCAGGCAAAAAGTTTCCTTCATGCAAATGTAATGTGGCTCGTCAAGCACACAACCACACTCCTTAAGTTCAGAGCACTTTTAGTCAAACAGCTAAGAACGTAGCACTTTTTAATACTCTCATTTGAACAACCCAACAAATAATGCAAAGTTTCCGCAAGGGGCACAGCAACGAAGCATAAAGAGTGGAAATGAGGCGGAAGAAAGGATAGAGTAATAATGGGGAAGTGATGGACTGAAATATTAGTTGAATTCAAGGAAAAAAACTAAACAAGGATAAGTTGTATTAAAAGTGAAATAAAGGATCCCAACTTTACATTTGAGCCCGCCTGCAACCTAATATGTCAAAATTGTTATTATCAAACGCGGCTTCAATTTCTGCAAAAATAAGTATCAGGCCAATTTTAAATACCCATGCGGTAAAAATTGTCGTACAGTAGTG